CTGTACCACGGAAGAAGCTAGAGGCGGATCTATCCAAGTTGGGAATGATAAACATTTATTCCCAACTTGAGGGGGAGTGTAGAGAACACTGATGTGGACCCCACAGCTACAGTCCCACTGTGTTCGTAGGGTGGAAGGTGTTCTAGTCTTCCTAGGGTTAGCTATTGGTCATTTAGTTGTTTCAGTTGTTATTTATTTCAGTCTTATTTCTGCTCTATTTGTTATGTAAAGACTAAGGGCAGATCTGTCATTTCTATGTAATGAGCATAACCTATAAATATTAATTAAAGTGACGGCGGCAGAACATGAAGCTTCTGCTCCTCCTTTTCAACTCTTGTGTTGTACTGCTTCTCCTCCCTCTTCCTCCTCTTTTCTCTTTACCTTTCTTCTTATTTTCAAACCTGAAATCAATTAGGGTTCAATACTGATAACAGTCCTGAACTTCTACTAAAACAAAGAGTSAAACTTTTCTGGGACTCTTCCCTGTACTCCAGTTCTTCCTGATTTTGATGCCGAACAGTAGATCACCTTCCTGATGACTAGATCCCACCAAAAAATCCAAGAACTGGGCAATATATAGCAAATTGACCAGCCCTTTGTTACTTCATGCAGTTGGCCGATCTAGGGCTGCATGAGAATGTTTCAAGAACCCTAGCCGGTGCTCTGATACCAAGTAGAAATCTGCTGAAATAAAAAATATGAACAGAAAAGTGGTTTCTTGAAGAGAGATGGAAGAGAGAAGGAGAAGATGAGAAGAAGAGATCTTGAAAAGAAAAGAGAGCAATAATCTGGCTGCCCCCTTCACTTATTATTTATACTAAAAATAATAGAGCAGTACAAAGACAACCSTTGCCCTTATAGGGCGGCATAACATGAAACAGCATATATAAGACTCAAAAACATAATAAAATTTGGACTCACATAACTACTGTGGTCCCCACCTCCTATCTAACAACTAACATAAAACATCTACTCAGATAACATAATAAAATTTGGACTCACATAACTACTGTGGTCCCCACCTCCTATCTAACAACTAACATAAAATATTTACTCAGAAAAACAACATAAAACTGATTAATCTTCAACAAGAATAGCCCTTGGGTGGGACTCATTTTCTTTGACATGTTATAGGAGAAAAATATGTCAGTCAAAGATGCTGTCAACCTGATAGTGTGATAATTTGATGTGAACTTTGATATAAGAAGCCCCTTAAGGCTGATTTTGTATCTTATTCCCTGCATCTATATAATGTGTTACTATTTTTACAATTTCAGGATGAATAATTTCCCTTTTATACATCAAAAGTGCATGTATAATCCAGAGACATTGAAAAAGGAAAAATAAATTGTCTGTCTATCTATAATATATAGACATAACCTGGCAAGTTTTTTAGACCTGTGTCTCATTTTATTTTGAATTGTAAGGGGAACCAAATTAAAAATTTATTTTTAAATATTAAGGGATGCTTACTTTCTTTCTTCCATTTGTAGGTTCTAAATGCTTGTGTGCGGCGCAAACAATGGGAAGGGGCATTTTGGGTGTTGCAGCAATTGAAACAACAGGGTCTGCAGCCTTCTAACACAACATATGGCCTTGCCATGGAGGTACCAAGTGACTTCTCTCAACTTCCTCTCTTGCTACCTGTTTTTATGACATTACTACATTGACTAGGTTGAATTGGATTTATCTTGTAGTTGTAGCATCCTTTTATAAAGCAATCATTTTTGTGCTAGGTTATGATTTTTTTAATCATTAAAAGTATTACCATATCTCATTGTTTGGTTCTGACAAACTGATCATCATTTGGAATTGCCATTTTGGTTCACCTTCAAAGTTTCAATTTGATCTGTCCTATGTAATTACTGAATTAGTATATTAGAGGCTATTTTATTATGAGAGGTAATTTATCAAAACGGGCCATTTCATGGTGCAATGATCTTGAGCTAACAAGCATGGGGATGGGGTTTTAGTCTGATAGTGGCCCATTTGTGCAAGAAAAAAAATGCCAAAGTTTAGGTGTGTATCCAGCAGTCTACCCCTCCCAAGATACCTGTATTAACTGAACCAGGGTTTGTGCAAATGAAAGAACATCAACAAGGAGATTAGAAACTGTTTATACTCAATTACAGAGCTGTACAATAATGCCCCTAGAAAGCATCAATGAAGAAAAAAAAGAAAAAAAGTAAAGTACAACTGGGCCAATACTAACATGATACAACAAATATCTAAACTCCTAGGTTCTGTAAACACTCCTTCAAAATTGTTGTAAAGACATAAGCATTGGTTTGTCAACCAGAAAAAGATGTTGAGATCATGTCATGGCCTTGGTGAAGGTGCTAGTAAATCAGAGGCCATATGTAGGAGAGTGATGGATCCTGCAAGAATAAATCTCTTATGATATAACAAAGCCCGTTCGCCTCTACCTTTGTTAGCTTGCCGATGAAGAGGGGAAGGATCTTATGGAAGTGTATGAGGGCAGCAGTCTATTGGACAATATGGGAAGAGAGGAATCAGAGAATTTTTCTTGATGAAGAAAGGAGTAGGGATGCTATCATTGAAGCTATCACCATCAGAGTAGTCCATTGGGTGAAGACACTGCATACTTTTAAGGATTTCTCTATGGATGTTTTGATGAGGAATTGGAGGGAGGTAGCATATTCTTTTCCTTTCAAGGAGGTTAGTAGGCCTTCTTGGTCCCCTCTTGTGTTTTTATTAAGCTCAACTTTGATGGCAACAATAAAGGAAACTCAGGTCCATTTGGCATTGGAGGAGTCTTTAGGGATGGGGAAGGAAAAGTCATTGTGATCTATTCATGTCCAATTGGAATAGGTGATTCATTGAGGGTGGAAATTATGGCTGTTTTGGAAGGCATTCAATGAATATTAGGAAACTCCTAGTAGAGGGTGATTCTAAGCTTGTGATAGAGTGGCTTAGGGAGGAAGAGGAGATTGGGTGGTGATGTTATATCTATGAGGAGGATAATCAAGAGACTGTTACAGGTAGGGGTGTTCACGGTCTGGTTCGTTGCTGTTTAGAGAAGATCTCAGGCCAAACCAATAAATTACTGTTTGAGAAATTCCCAAACCAAACCAGGCCAAACCGTTTTATTACGGTTTGGTGGTGTCTAATATGGTTTGGGGAACTTTGGACCATTCTTTGATTCTATAGGGCTTAACCCAATTAGAGCCCAAATAACACCCCTAAAATTTAAAACTTAAAACTTTTATTATAAAATAAAAGTTTATTATTTATTTATAATTTTATACATTTGGTTTAGATATATTATATTATATACATAATATTTATACATCATTTATTTTTATGATTCTATTGTATATTTATAGATTTRTATTATATATAATTTTGGTTTACAGTTTACGGTTGGGTTCGGTTTGTAAAGTCCAAGAAACCAAACCGAAACCGCAAACTGCAATTTAACGAATTATGAAACCAAACCAAACCATTTTCAAGTGCAGACCGAACTAAACCGCAAACTTGGTTTGGTTTTGTGGTTTGAACCAAACAATGAATACTCCTAGTTACAGGGGGTGGAAATGAACTTCAAATGGGTGAGAAGAGATGCCAATGCTTTTGCTTACACACTTGCCAAACAAGGGGTGGGAAGGAACAACTAATTTTGGGCTATGTTGTAATTGACATTTCTGTTGGGGAGTGTTTTTGCTCTGAAGGTGTATCAACTTGTTTATCATTTGTAAGATTAGCTAATTTAAGCAAGTCTGAAGCATACTTTCGCTGGTTAACGAAGTAACTCCGATTGCTCTTTTGAATCTCAAGTCCTAAGAAATAAGTCAGTGGCCCCAAATCTTTCATATGACAAGATCTTTTAAGAAGAAACTTGAGTTTGATACCAACAACCGCAATAACATCTCTAAAATGCTCAACCATGCTCTGGAAGGTTGCTTGAAATCCATATAATGATTTTGTTAGTTGATACACTGAAGAAGGGCCATCATAGTATTTTGAAGGAGGTTTTGTGTACACCATTTGGGCCATTTCTTTCAAATACCCATGAAGAAATATATTATTCACATCCATCTGAAAAGTAGTCCATTGATTAGCTACAGATAAAGCCAAGAGTACTTGGACCATAGCCATCTCAGAAATAGGGGAAAACATCTCTTCATAATTAATGCCATACTCTTGCTTGTATCCTTGTGCCATCAGTCATGCCTTATAGTGGTACAAAGAGCCATTAGATTTTAATTTAACTGTGTGCACCCAATGGCTAGCAATAATAGATGCATTAGGAGTGGCAAGTACTAAATCCTAGATATCATTCTCTTGTAAGGCTTGAAATTTTGTATCGAGAGGTTCTTTACAATGGGGGCTACCAGTAGACTATTGGTAAGTTCAGGAAATTCTTGTTGAGGAAAAAACAATAGAAAAGGAGCTATAGGAGGAAAGAAAACCTTAGCAGTCAGGAGGACAAGAAATACAAAAAGAAAGACAAAGGAATATTAATAAAAGGAACAAAGGAGGTACATCGCAAAGTAGAAGGGTAAAGTTCACTTACAATAGCATGAGGAAGCTGTTGATCAGGTTCTAGAGGTTAGGGATGCAAATGGATCGGATTTCAATCAGGGTATATCCTGAGTCTGAATCTTATCTGATAATATAAATATTATATCTGATCTGATTCGATTATCTGGCAGATCTTACAAAGATGAATTCGAATTTGTTAAGGATATTAGATATCTAAATCTGATCCGATTTGATTTAATTACCCATATGTCTTGTAAAATTTAACAAATTATTAATTTGAAAAAACAAAACAATCTATACTAAGAAAAAAACACAAGTATTTTTTCAACCAATTTTATCATGTATATTTTAAATAAAATGTGGGTATACATGTCTTGTTACAAAACAGCATTAATAATATAAAAAATCAAAATGCAATATAAATGTAGCAAGGTACCAACCAGCTGGTTGGTAAGAGTAGTCGATCTAGACTACAATCAGTCTTGAATTAAAAAGAAAGAAGGATGAAAAATTGAAGAGAAGAAGAAGAGAAGAGAGGAAGAAAAGAAGTACATGAAGAGAGTTTCAGAAAAGAGAGAGCCGGTCATAATTTCTGCTGACCCTCTCTTAGTATTTATATAACTATTGGCTAACTGTAAAAGGGCTGAATTGCCCTTATTGCTTACATGGCAAATAGAATAAGAAATAACTAATAATAAAGCTGAAATAACTACCAACTAACACTGTCATATCTAACAGAAATATTGCTGCCATACGAACACYGTGGGCACCACATCAGTGGGGTCCACATCAGTGTTCTTTACACTCCCCCTCAAGTTGGGAATAGATATTTGTCATTCCCAACTTGCATAGATCTGCCTCTAATTTCTTTCTTGGAACAACCATGGTGAGAAGATCTGCAAGCTGCATGCTGGAAGTGATATACAGAAAACACACTTCTTGAGATGAAACCCTTTCTTTGACAAAATGTCGGCCTACTTCAATATGCTTAGTTCTGTCATGCTGTACCAGATTATGATCTATATTAATAGTAGCCTGATTATCACAATACAGCATTAAGGGCTTCTCATAAGCAATACCCAACTCCTCAAATAGTGATTTCAACCATAGGATTTCAGCCACACCATTAGCTATAGACCTGTATTTAGCTTTTGCACTAGAACGAGAAACAACACTTTGCTTCTTACTCCTCTAGGAGACCAGGTTACCTCCTACAAAAGCACAATATCTAGAGGTAGACCTTCTATCATCAATATTCCCAGCCCAATCAGCATCTGTATAAACCTCTATCTTCATGTGATTATTATTCTTGAATAGTATACCTCTATCTGGGCACCTCTTCAAATATGCTAATATCCTCTCAACTGCAAGTAAACGAATAGTCTTAGGAGAGTGCATATACTGACTGACAACGCTGACCGCATAACTGATGTACGGTCGTGTGAGACAAAGAGGAGTTTTCCAACTAATTACTAGAACATAGCTTTATCTTCAAGTGGCTCTCCACCCTCTACATTGATCTTGTGATTTTGTTCAATAGGTGTATCTGTAGGCTTAACACCTAATTTTCCAATTTCTTCCAACAAATCTAGAACATACTTTCTTTTGGAAACAAAAATCCCATGTTTAGATCTAGCTACCTCAATACCCAAGAAGTATTGTAGCTCTCCCAGATCTTTCACCTCAAATTCTTGATGAAGGAGTTGTTTGAGAGACTCAATCTCACCATTATCATTCCCTGTCACTACAATATCATCAATGTATATAGCAAGCAAGGTCAAGGAAGAGTCCACTCTCTTAATGAACAATGTATGGTCTGACTGGGCCTGTACATAGACGAACCTTTTAAGGGCTTGTCTGAATCTATCAAACCAAGCTTTGAGGGACTGTTTTAGTCCATACAAAGCTTTATTCAACCGGCAAACCTTCTTTCCTGTGTTTGCATGATAAAATCCAGGAGGCAACTGTATGTAGACTTCTTCCTACAAGTCTCCATTGAGGAAGGCATTTTTGACATCCATCTAGAACAAGGGCCAAGAGTAACTGGTTGCAAGGGACATTAAAACTCTAATGGTGGTCATCTTCGCTACTGGAGCAAAAG